GGACCAGGAGATCAATACCAGTGTCCAAAAGGCCAGCCAAGCTCTTGGGAGACTGCGCTCCAAAGTTCTACAACACAGCGGCATTCGCCTCTCCACCAAGCTCAAAGTATACAGAGCAGTGGTCCTCATCTCACTTCTGTATGGCTGCGAAACATGGATGCTCTACTGGAGAGACAACAAACAGCTGGAGCAGTTCCACCATTGCTCCCTTTCGGTCAGTCATGAAGATCCGCTGGCAGGACAAAGTCACCAACCAAGAAATCCTGGACAGAGCTGGCTCAACAAGCATTGAATCCATGATTCTGAAAATGCAGCTCCGATGGTCTGGCCACGTCATCCGCATGTACCCACAGAGGATGCCAAAGCAGGTGTTCTTTGGAGAGCTGGCCGCAGGGTCCAGACACCAAAAGCTCCCAAAGAAAAGATTCAAAGATAACTTCAAGTCACATCTAAAATGGGCTGGCCTGAACCCAAAGCAGTTGGAGCTTGCCGCCTCTGACAGAGCCAGTTGGTGCGCCCGAACTAATAAAGCAGCCAGCACATTTGAAGAGGACCGTCACCATCATCTTGCAGCTGCAAGAGAACGCAGACACAGAGAATTCACTCACTGCCCCTGCCCCAACTACTGGCGAACCTTGCCCCCTCTACAACCGCCTCTGTGCCTCTGCCTTTTGGCTTCGAATCCACATGAGGACCCACAGATGACTGCACAAAGCCTTGATCGTCATTCTCGACTCCCGAGAGACTACCTACCATAGTTTTAAAAAATAATAAAAACTCATAATGTTGAGTTAATACAAATTAAAAACAGAAACCAACACATTCTTAATTGTGAAAGTTTATCCAATTTCTTCAGGAATTAAAATTTCGGTGCAATGTTTTGACATCTTGAAACTTATTGATATTTATTGTGAGTGATGACACATTGACCGTTCCAAGATGGCAGACACATCAACGTGTCTGGAGAAGTTGAAAGTGGCATTTACCTATACATATCTATGCTTCAGTTCCTAAGAAGAGAGACAGAAAGGGACTTAGTTGGGTAAAAGAACACAATTAGTCTGTCCTGTGGTTTGAATGAATGAATAATCATTGAACACGCCCATTGGAAAAACTAGAATATTCTAGTGCAAGTGAAAAGTGAAAATGGAAGTTCTACTAGGAAGACTTAATGCTACGTCACGCATTACAATTAGATCTAGCCAATCATCACTCAACACAAGAATTATATAAGCTCTTTACTCACCCTTCCTTGTGTTTGCAGAAACTGACATTGACGTTCCCCTCCATCTTCCCCACCACCACCAGGTTGGCCCTGTCCATGCAGGGGGGTAGGCCCCTGCCTTCGTCTCGGCAGTAATAGCTAAATCTTCAACCTACACATTCAAGCTACGGATGGGGCCTACGACAAAGAATTCTGTTTTTTATGTCTTGGTTTTGTAAATAAATTATTTTGAATTTTTCACCTCCAGAGTCTTTCTGGTAGAACTAAAATGTCTCTAAAATGTTGTCTTAACTTGTAAGTGAAATTGTCCTTAGTTGTTGGCAAACCCTACAAACTTTGGTTAGCTCTGTATAATAGATGCCAGTTCTTCAAGTACTGACCATGACTGAGGACCAAGTGATGACAGAACAAGCTTATCTTGGTGAATGCTTGTTTTGTGTTAGCTGAGTGTCTCCAGTGTCCCTGCAAGGTCAGGTTTGATGTGTGCAAAATTCAGAACTCAGAACTCAGGAACCCAAGAACAGAGCTGCAGTCTAATGTGCTAAGGGTGGCTTTTTGTTCTCAAAGTCTTTCATGAGGTGACATACATGCATATGTAACTTCTGTACACTTTAAAAGCACACTGTGATTCCCTTCGGCACAGAGAAGAGCTATTAAAAATTAGAGAAGACATCCTCGCAAACACACACACACACACACATGTGCACATAAACAAACATACACACACTTTGCTGTGGGTGCACTCCTCACCATTAATGCATCGAGTTCAAGCTCACCTCCTTCCCCCTCAATATACCCGAAATATTGCTTTTAAGATGACTTTGATGTGTACATATGTATGTGCGTTCCTGAAGGGAGCAAGCTGAAAGGCAGATGCATTGTGTGAATGGGAGCGTAAGTAAAAAGTCTTTTCACAGATGTCTGTTGATGGGATTACTCACACTCTCTCAGCCTAAGGACAGAAGTGAGAGAATAAGAGAGAGATTTGGGAAAGGAGAGATAGAGAGTGTGTGTAAATGATTTAACAGCTAGCTCTCTGAAAGCGCTGAAGATCAGAGATCGTGTTGTGAGCCGCCCATCATTCTGCTAATCCAAAGAGCTCACATCCGCATTAACACCCCCACATCACACGAAATGCTATCGGCGGCAATGGCTGCCAGGATTTTTTGCGAAACCGGAAAAGAGAAGGGTTTGATTGAAAGTCTGGCAGAAAGTATTCTCATGTGGGGAAGTCGTGGCCTAATGGTTAGAGAGTCGGACTCGTAACCCAAAGGTTGCGGGTTCGAGTCTCGTACCGGCAGGGCTTGTAGGGGGGGGGGGCGAATGTACAGCGCTCTCTTCCACCTTCAATACCACGACTGAGGTGCCCTTGAGCAAGGCACCGAACCCCCAACTGCTCCCCGGGCGCCGCAGCATAAATGGCTGCCCACTGCTCCGGGTGTGTGTTCACTGCTGTGTGTGTGCACTAAGGATGGGTTAAATGCAGAGCACTAATTCCTAGTATGGGTAACCATACTTGGCCACATGTCACGTCAAGTAGAGTAGAGGCAGCACGACTAGAAAGGCAAGAAATTTATGAGAACTTGAGGCTGCTGTCTCATCCTGGTCTAGATCAAGGTTTGACTAGATCTATATGATCTCTTCCCACCTCCCACATGAGAATAAGCACACAGCATCTCTAATGGAGATTCGTCTAACCCAATAACACATACATTGAGCATTACAATTTACGCCTGTTATTGTAAGTTGATAAATGTTATTTCAAAATGGCAGAACACACCCTTTTCTTGTGTGATTTATACGGTGGGACTGCAAGGAGGTGTTGACTTTACACTGTTTCAAATTAATGTTATTCCTCTTCTTTAACTCCTGGGGGTCTCACAGTGTAAAACCCTGATAGAAATGCAGCAGGAGTGCTTTTGAAGTAGCTGAAGTGGAAGGCATTTTATCATAGTTTGTTCATTTGGGTGTCCATAAAATACAGTCACTGTTGGGGGAATTGTACTGTAGCAGCAATAGTGTGAAAAAAGATAGTTTGTTGCTTGCCTCTTCACGCTAACATTCTTTCCAGATCAATGTGGAAATTCCACTTGCCTAAGATAAACCTTTACTTCGTTGCCAACAGCTGTTTGCTGTTTCTTTATTGTTTACAGTGAAGAAAATCCCATTTGTATTTTTTACCACTTTCATAAGTTCGCCTACCCATCCAGTCCTGATGTTAATGGCAAACGAATTTGGCTTACAGTCCTTGATGGAGGCTCGAACCCGAAGCTCGGCTTGAGCTCCGAGTTCAACCCGATGTTGTGATACTACATAGAGGGAATAATAACAGAAATAGAGGACGAGATGGGGGAGGTGGAATGATGCCAGAAGAATTGTTGCTGGGACGGTATATACCGGTAGGCTTGTGATGAGGAGTGACAGGACTGAATGATTAGGCTCCTACCGAACCTACACTTGGAACTTTTATTTATTTACTTATAACATTTATTTACAGCTACAATTAGAGATAGGACAAGAATTGGAGAAGAGTGAAGAGGATCAGGAAATGCCAAAGGCTCATGACACCCACATCAGAGCATTGCACCAACTGTTAGGCCATTGCTCCAACTGTTCTTTTATCTCCTATTGGTGGAACCCCCCCCCCCCCCCCCCCTTTTTT